TAAATGTATTTATCTAATTTATATACAATCACATATCTCAAGCATAGGTTTACACTCATAATTAATAGGTGAAAAAAGTTGTACATGTTACGTCTTGGAATAAATAAGGATAAGAAACAACCGTTATCTTCAACAGTTATTCTTAAATATATGTATACTATCATCACTATATAAATTATTTTTTCTCAAAGAAGATACTCAACATCTGTATGTGCGATTTAGTTAAAATTTGTTTCTTTCATCTTCGTGAATTTTCTTTTCAAAAGGAGATATTAATAAAGATTGTTTGCAAGACTAAGCTGCTATAGCCCAAAGAGTAAAGAAAAAGTCATCGAAAAATGTTGTTTCGGAATTGGCCATCAACATCTGACATCTAATTCAAGACTTCTTTCCATAACTAATTGGGTAGCTTACTGAATTGAAAATAAAAAGTACATGTTTTTACGTGATTTCAACATAATATAGGTAGTTCGATATGTCAATAAACTTTGTTGTTTTTTATTGAAAAATTCCTCAGCAAAATGACAAACTTATATGCTTGAAGTTCGCATGAAAGTGGAAATGCGTAGTGCCTAATTCATGAAATTTGAATCCTTCAAGTTAACGGGTTACGAATTAAATTCATAGCGAGAGAGATTTTCTTGCTTTGAAGAGTAAATGAACATAAAATCAAGCTGTAGAAATTAGTGTTTAATACTAATTACATATGTCTATTTTCTTTTTCGTTCTGTTCGTTTGCCCTGTCAATATATAAAAAAAGAGACATCAAAGGAAAACGAATATATTCACACACAGAGAAGAAATGGAAGGAAAGAAAAAAAAAAGGCGCTACTTTCAACATAAAATAGTTTTTCATTCTTTTCTCAAAAACTAAGAGTTGTCCAGGAAAGGGGGTAGTATATTTGAAATCCTATAAAATTCTGAATAGAATGATATATGCTGTTTTCTTGTAAACTACCCCCAAGAAAATCGACTCGATTTGCTATGTTTTTGCTGATTCGTTTTTGGCCAGGAATTTGTCTGACGAATTTTCACTTGATCAGCGCTGTTTTTCTTGTGCGAATTTTTTGTCTGATCTAGTCGATGTTTTTTGTTTTTGAACATCTCGGAGAGAAATGTCTACAACAAAAATGATTAGAATATGCGTTTGTGTTTGAATTAAATCAATCTCAGCCTTATAAATTGCTAATAACATATTATGAGAACTTTTAACTTATTTTTAATACTCATTGAGAGAAACCCTCCTTTCCAGACGTTAGAAAATATGACATGATCCGAAATTTATTTTTATAGTTATTTGATTCATAGATCAGTTTTTGTAATTTTATTTTCAATTATTGCCTCATTACAATATCTCTTCATCGTATAAGGTCAAAAGTCGGATTGTTTTAAATAATAAAAATAGCAAAAATTTAATCTATCTGTGATAATTTTATATCACAGATTTAATAAAAAAAACAAATATGAAGAGAGAAACGATCAATTGCAAGAACACTGAATGAAAATAATCATTTTGAACGACACTAGGCGATATTCTTGTTTTTATTTTTTTCAGATTCTTTTTCTTCAGATAGTCATTCTTTGTATCTTACAGAACTACATAAATCGCTTGTATGTACTTCTTTTCTTATTTCTAATTTGAACATCTTACTATTAGTGGGTCATAGTAACAAAGTAGACTCATATTCAAATCGCAAAAAATTAAAAAATTTGAGTATTTGTTTTTCGCGTTTTCTAAACATGTTAAAAGAAAGTTCAACAAAATAAGTAAAAGTAGGTTTACTATCATTTTTTTTTCGAAACTTCTTAGTAAACCAAATCCATTTTCATCTATAGTCTTAAGTAGAACATTTTTTTGTATGCATGTTATACATGCTAATAGTCTGATATATGTTTTCGATGTAGAAAATCCATTCCGTGCGTATTTTAAAAACTAAGACATAGATTTATCAAAACAATAGAATTTATGATATTCAACTTAAAATTAGTATCACAGAATCGATTCCTTATGCCAAATCGGAGTATATTAGTTTTTACAATCAGCATTGAATTGATATTTTAAAATGAAAAACAAATCACTCGAAGTTACCGCAGAAACTCGATTAGTTTTAATTCGAGAAGATTTAGAAAAAAGTAATAAACATATTGTTACTCAGTTGATCAAGCTCTATCTAATCATGTACAAAAAAAATTGCTGGAACTTCGAATTTTTGCATCTTAAATAATTGAGTTTGTTTTTTTTTATTCAGTTTTTTCTACACAAGCCGATGAAAATTTTATCGAAATAACTAAGAAACTCTGCTTCTAGTTTTGTTTATGAGATTTTAACTAGTTTTTGTTAAACTGTTATTTTTCTCTTTTTTTAATGCGTGTAATTTCAGTGAAAACTTCATCAATAAAATAGGAACAAATATAAAATGCTAGATTATTAAGAAGTTTTCCCTATTTTCTAAGAAAAAGCATCAGACTACATTTTCAAGAATGGCAAGATTTTGATGAAAAAAAGATCCTTATAAATGTATCAGCAGAAAAACGAATCTAAAAAGATTAGAGACAAGAATGTCGATTTGTGGAAAAATTAAAAGTAGAATCTGAATAAATACATAAGAAACAGTATCAAGCACTTTCTTAATTGACATCTTCCAATTTTTTCCTAATATATCATATCTGCTGACTCTTCAATATTACAATCGTGATAACCAAAACGAAACTATTGTTGTCAGTTAATATTTCGATTACTACTACTTTTTCAAACTACTAATTACATCACTATTCTTTGACTAAGTTACGTCTACATATCTGATTCTTCAGATTAAAAATGAAGTAAATGAGATAATGAACGGTAAAGCTTTGCTGTAACAATCAACTTTCCGATTTGTTCATCGATAGCGCACCTCTATTTTCACCTATCTAAAACTATTTCTTTCTAAGACCTAAATAACAATATCGAAGATAACACAATGCTGATGGTAACCATGTTTTTTTCATACACATAGGTTTGTTTTATGTCCGCTTTTGATTCGAATATAATCAGAGAAGAGTGCGGATGTCGATACGGATATGACTATTGATATTCTATTCATTTACACTCACACCCATTCCCACACCCACCCACACCCACACCCCACACCCACACCCACACCCACGCCCCACACCCACACCCCACACCCACACCCACACCCACGCCCCACACCCACACCCACCAACACCACCCACACTCACACCCCACACCCCACATCCACACTCACACCCACACCCACACCCCACTTTTTTGAAGATGTTACTTAGCCCTCGAGGGGGAGGGGTATCTTCGTCGCACTGTCTCCCACCCCCCGATCATCACTTTTTACGAAAAATTAGTGACTGTCTGCCAAGTTTGTTGAAGTGTCTGGCAAAATAAAAACAAAGTGTAGCCCCTCCCACTCTCAAAAACAATCGAGAGCCTTGTCTGTACTTCAGAGTAAATGAAGTATGGTGACAGTACATGAAGTGTAATTGGAGTACGAGAGTATAACGAAAACATCAGGATGCAGTGTGAGTGAAGTGGAAGTTGTGGAATATAGTAAAAGAACTGTAGGTATACAGGAGTACAACCGAAGTACATGAAGTATCAGAGCACGTCGTTATCCTCTTCGATTTATGTCCATATTTCACTTAGTTATAAAAATTGTACTCTTACTGCACTCCCTGTACTTCTGAAGACCACGGAGTATATTCGGAGTACCTGAAGTTCCAGAAATACATGGAGTCCACAAAGGACGAAAGTATGTCGTTTCGTTGGTACCCACACTGTACTCTCAGAGTCCATAGAGTATAGTTGGAGTACATAGATTCCATGGAGTCTATGGAGTACAAAAGCATGTGATTTTCCCCATGCCTTCTATTCACCCATACTCTCGATTGAATATTCGATCAATGCGAATAAAGATATGGACAAGATGAGACTGATAACTGTGGATATCTCTTATTTTCTTGTTACAACAAAGAAAAAGTAGTTATAATGATAATTTATGAAAACACAACAGTGATTTCGTAGTAGTCATATTACTATAGTTCAGTTTTGTTCAACAGCTTTTGTCATTTGCAACGTATTGCCAAAAATATGCAAAATTATGTTGCTCTGTTTCTTAATCGATTGAGAAGATACCTTTTGACGTATCCAAATGTTGCATCAAACTCTTTCTTGTAGTGTTTCGATGGGATTACAAAGACAATGAATATAGACATATGTGGTGCAAATGAAATTAAATAACCACACAAGAATAACCATGGATTTCTAGGCGACTTCATGCATCCAGATAGAAATGAAATGACAAGCCGAGGTAAAGCCAAAGTTATTAAAATAATTGGACTAATGAATATATGTTTCAATTGATAAAATTGCTGTCGCAAGTGTTTTTGATAAGATATTTGTTTTTGAACATTAGAACGTTGATAAGCAACTTTGAAAACAATGATAAAAGCTGAAATAATATTCAATATGAATGGACAAAGAAAATGAAGAAGTAATATAGCCGAATTGAAAGTCTGAACTGATGATGAATATTTTACAATGCACCATGTGCGATTTTCTTCTTCATCATCCATTAAGTGACGATTAATAAGATCTTGTAGATTAGTTGTAATAGTTAAGACAAAAATAAAGATAATGATCCATTTAGCTATTCGTTTAGTCTTTGCTTTATCTAATTTCTTCTCTTGATAAGTAACAACAGTACGTTCAATTCCAACACATGTAGTCAGCCAATCAATAATGTTGACAAGAATTTTGATAAGAAAATCAATTAGAATGCAATTCAATGATAGAAAAATACGATTAGTAATAATATTCATGTGTGATGCAATGAGAAAGTAGAACTTCAAAGCAAACAAAATGAAAACAATAGCTGATGTATATGACGAAACAAGAAGATAACAACCACAACCGACTTCACGCATCTTTTTCGTTTGAAAAGTCATAATAGATAAAACGCTATTAGCAAGACCACATACTAGCATAATCATAGCGATTGTTACAGTAATTTTGATTGATACACGTTGTTGACCAAAAGATACATCAGGTTTTATGTGGTAACCAAGTATAGTATCAAGTGAAACAGCAAAACCTTTTGTTGAAAATTGACATCGAGAGCCATAGGAACATTCATCACAAACACACATAAATAAAGTTGGACAGTCAGGTTTATCATAAAAGCATCGCCCTTCATTTTCACATAGACTTTTTCCTTTACAATTATATGTCATATTGTGATTGAAATTGAAACAATTAGCTTGTTGAAGATCATGATTACATATACACATATGAGTTTCGTCGTAGAAACAATCAAGTTTCGTTCGTTGTTGACATGGCATATGATAAAGTTTAATGCGACGAAGAAGATGCCTTGTAACAATGGTAGTATTAAAAAGTTCAATGATTGGTAAACATCTTTTCGATCGTGTAATTACTGATGTGATATTAGCTGAAGAATGATAGTTTTCTTGAAGTACACTGAAATAATATGTTTTAGGTTCAATTTCAATGAAAAGTATATGAAATGGATCGTTTCTGTAGATCTTAACGGTGTTTTGATCGAGTGCGATCTTTTTGAAGATCGTCGTGTGGTTGTGAGGATTCCGTTTTCCATACACTTGAATAAAATGAAGAAGGATAGATGACGGTATCGCCACGTCTGATGCGAATGAGATAAGAATTTCTGTATCACGTATTTCACAAGTGAGACCGGAAAATCCATCTGGACAAATACACCAGGAAGCATTATGCTGACTAATCCACTCATCATTCCACGCACAGAATCCACCATTTTTACATGAACATTTGGAACGCTTTAGATAGCAACGTGGGCCAAATTTTCGCAGTGGACACAAACATAGATTGGGACCGAGACAAAGTGAATCTGGCGAGCAATTACATGTATATTGAATATCACAATTTAATCCAGACCATCCTTTATCACATTTGCAAAAAGTGCCATTGGTGTTCACATATTGTAAATAGTGACCATGATTTCCACATTTTTCTGTTTCTTGTCCTTGTAAAATAGCTTTTGTTGGTGGAATATGCAACTGAACAGCTGTACGATGGACAGGCAAAAACAGAAATTGAATGGAAAATGCCCAAGTGCCTCGAAATTCGAACGAATTTTTTTCATAAATGTCAATGCGTACAGTATAGTTCGTCGATGTATTTTTTGGTCGTGTGGTATAAAGAAGATAAATATTATACTTTTTGAGACAAACATACATCGGTAAGTAGTTGACTTTATCATATGATTCAATTAAACCTTGTTGATCATCAATCAATGTAATAACAACAGCGAATATAGTACGAAAATCAGATAATACTCGTAACTGTACAGTTAGACTAACTCGTTGAGTTTGGTTTTCACATCGATGACCATGATATGCTGGTGGGCAAAAACAAGTTGTTTTTGAATTCTTCGTATTGTTCATCAAACGTCGAACGCCAATACCTCGATTACAATATGCTGCTGTCTCACTGTATTGCACTGATCGGTGGACATTCAGTGAATTAGAAGCAGTAAAAATAATTTTAGAACTTGAAGTTTGCTTTGTTTCATCTGAAACGACACAATTAAAACATGAGTTCGTTCAATATGTCGAGATGAATCATATTGCGAAAGCATTTTTAAGATTTATCAAAAGTACTAATATTTTCAAAGATTCGAACAAAATCCCTTGAATCAAACATATATGAAATAGAGAGATAAAGAAAATCAAGAAAGTTGACGAAGAGGTTCTTTTAATTATTCGATATATCTTCTAGCTTACTCATTGCTCTACATATTCATGTTAAGACTTCAAGAATCCCGTTTTAGAATGTGTCGAAAGAATTTTAAAAAAGACCTTTTCTTCAGATATGCGACTCTTGTTCAAAGATGAAAATATCAGGTACAAAAAATTGGTACAGTGAATCTCGAGAAATGGTTGTATGTTCCATCAATTCTTTGCAAAGAACTCATATTCAATCGCATTCACTAATTTTATTATTTAACCTTATTCAACAAGACAAATCTATTCAGATGACTATTTCATACGTTGTACAGCGCAACATTCTTATAAAAAATACTTAGCTGTTTGATTTTTCCAAAAGTCTATTCATACAATCAAATTTTCAAAGATTCATGGGACTCACTTATGCACTGTATTCTGCGTGTATTTTCATGAAAATCAATAGAAATGTTTCCAATTTGAAACTATATTGAAGTTATTATAAATGGTTCTATTTCAGTACCTTTCTATTACTAAAAAAAAAATAGGCGTAGATTAGTAAACCCTAGAAAAACGTTTATGAACTTTTTAA